CTCTAGCAGTCAGAGAAATGCAAATCAAAACCACCCTAAGATACCATCTCACTCCAGTAAGATTGGCAGCCATTATGAAGTCAAACAACAACAAGTGCTGTCGAGGATGTGGGAAAAAGGGTACATTTGTACATTGCTGGTGGGACTGCAAATTGGTGCGGCCAATTTGGAAAGCAGTATTTCTTGAAAAGCTGGGAATGGAACCACCATTTGACCCAGCTATTCCCCTTCTTGGACTATTCCCTAAAGACCTTAAAAGAGCGTACTATAGGGATACTGCTACAACAGTGTTCATAGCAGCACAATTCACAATAGCTAGACTGTGGAACCAACCTAGATGCCCTTCAATAGATGAATGTATAAAAAAAAATGTGGCATTTATACACAATGGAGTAGTACTCAGCACTAAAAAATGACAAAATCATGGCATTTGCAGGGAAATGGATGGCACTAGAGCAGATTATGCTAAGTGAAGCTAGCCAATCCCTAAAAAACAAATGCCAAATGCCATCTTTGATATAAGGAGAGCAACTAAGAACAGAGCAGGAAGGAAGAGCATGAGAAGAAGATTACCACTAAACAGGGATGAGAGGGGGGAGGGAAAGGGAGATAGAAGGGAAATTGCATGGTAAAGGAAGGAGATCCTCATTGTTATACAAAATTACATATAAGAGGAAATGAGAGGAAAAGGGAAAAAAAACAAGAGAGAAATGAATTACAGTAGATGGGGTAGAGAGAGGAGATGGGAGGGAAGGGGAGGGTTGGGGAGGGGGGATAGTAGAGGATAGGAAAGGCAGCAGAATACAACATACACTAGTATGGCAGTATGTAAAAAAGTGGATGTGTAACTGATGTGAATCTGCAATATGTATACGGTGTAAAAATGGGAATTCATAATCCATGTGAATCAAATGTATGAAATATGATATGTCAAGAGCTTTGTAATGTTTTGAACAACTAATAATAAAAAAATAGAAAAAAAATAAAGACAGTGGATGTGGCTCAGTTGTTAAGCACCTCTGGGTTCAATCCCCAGTACTAGGAAAAAAAATTAAATTATATCATACAGTAAAGAAACTCTTTAAAGATACCAATACTAAAGAAAAAAATGAGGAAGGAAGATTTTTAAGAGTGTAAAGGAGTCTGAAGATCAAATTTTAAAAATATTTATTTTTTTAGTTGTAGTTGGACACAATACCTTTATTCCATTCATTTATTTTTATGTGATGCTGAGGATTGAGCCCAGGGCCCTGTGTGTGCTATGTAAGCACTCTTCTGCTCTTCTGCTGAGCCACAATCCCAAAATAAACTGTGAAACATTGCAACTTTTTTTTTTTAATTTGTCGATTGAACCAGGGGTGCTCTACCAAAGAGCTATATCCACAGCTCTATTTATTTATTTATTTATTTATTTATTCATTTATTTATAGATAGTATCTCATTAAATTGCCCAGGCTGGCCTCATACTTGTGATCCTTCTGCCTCAGTCTACCAACTAGATGGGACTACTTGCAGGAAATACTCATGCAAACCACTACACTTTAGACTTACTATTTTTTTTCATTTTGGAAAATATAATTTATCATAAAATATGTTAATATATTGATGGATTATTACTGTCATTTAAAAACAAATATTTAAACTTTAATTTCTATATTGAAGTATATATATGCCACATTAGCTAAAGCTCTTTGGTATCTTCAATAATTTTTACGGATGTAAAGGATTCTGAAGATCAAATTTTTTTAATATTTATTTTTTTAGTTGTAGTTGGACAGAATACCTTTATTCCATTCATTTATTTTTATGTGGTGCTGAGGATCAAGCCCAGGGAACTGCATGTGCTAGGCAAGCGCTTTACCACTGAGCCACAATCCCAGCCCCGTGAAGATCAATAATTTTAAGGGTTATTATAAAATAACCCTTTTACCAAACATATTAGAAGTATAAATTCATTTTAAAAATGGAAAAAAGAAAAAACTAAGGAAGATTAGCATAGCACAAAATCTCACTGCCCAGAGAACCATTGTTGACATTTTGGAAGATTTTATTTTAGAATTTGGATCATTCATAGATAGTGTTACATACTGTTTTTAAATTTTTAAGTAATAACTTATAATTATTTTTTCATGTTATTAATGTTTTTTGAATGTGTGAGTTTATTACTTTGTTATATAACTGATTATGTTCTCTGATTTGTTTGGTCATTCTATGATAGGATATTTAGATTATTTGCAGTCTTGCCTAATATAAATAACTTTTTAATAATTTAGGAGAAGCTTTGCTGTATTTTCAGATTTATGTCTTAAATTCTCTTTTACAATTAAGGAAAAAATTATCTTGTTGACTCAAACCAGGGTTTTGTTTTGTTTGTAATTACTTCTTCTCAAAGCATAACATTTTGGGAAAAAAGAGCAATTTTTTTCTATTTGCCTATTAAAAATTATCATTTTATATTAATAGTTTTATTTCCATTTTCAAGTTAACATATTAATCACTTTTTTGTACAAGAAAGGCTGCTCAATTTATTTTTCTTGGTTAGGATTTAAGTAGCTGTGCCTGATGCATAAAAACTGGTCTAAAAACATCTGAAATGAGGGAGTTTTGTTTTTTTTTTTAAGGAAATTATCTTGGTTTTGTTTATGCAGTGTATTTCCTTTCCTTCAGTCAACTTTTTTCCCTTTGGTACAACAAAATCATTTATTTTGCAAGTAAAATTTTTAATAATTTAGTGAAGGAATAGTTGCATGTATTTAAGAAATAAATGTTTGTGCATAGAATGGAAATTATTCTTATAAAATGGATATATATTTGCTCATCCAGTAGCAACTATAACAGGCAAATTTTGTCAAATAAGGGATTTCATTTATTTATTCAATTTATTTATTTATATTCAATTATTTCAAGGGATAAGGAAGAAGTATACAGTCTTCAACTTTTAATTATCCAGAGACACAGTATCAGAATTTCAGATTAGACATGACCCTTATTTTGCCTTCAGGCTCTTTCTTCTCATATTTCTTACACTTTTTTTTGCCTGCTGTGAAAAAAAATGATAAATAATGTCTGAGAAATTTCTCATTAGTGATTTTCACTTATATCTAAAACTATAATGACAAACTATCAGGATGTTTGAGGATGTATGTAGCCAACCTACATAATTCTGGGCTATTTTCTCCCTATCTCCAAAAACTTTTTCAAATCAAATATATTTAGCTTACCCTGTGGTATTGATATGAAATATTCCCCCAATGTGTTGAAGGTGTGGTCTCTAGAGCAACAATGTTCAGAGGTAGAGCTTTGGGGAATTGATTGAATTAAGAGGGCTTTTATTTCATTAATGAATTAATCCATTGGTAGATTCATAATTTGCATGGACCGTTGGGAGGTGGTGGAAGTTTCTACCACTAGGAGGTGTGACCTAGTTGAAGGGGTTGGGTTCTTACCTAAATGCCCTTGGAGACTATATTTTATCCTTGTCTTCTCTCTCTCTCTCTCTCTCTCTCTCTCTCTCTCTCTCTCTCTCTCTCTCTCCCCCCTCCCTCCCTCCCTCCTTCCCTTCTCTCTCTCTCTTTCCCAGCTGCTTTTAGGTGAGCAACTTTCCTCTACCACATCCTGCCACAATATGCTACCTTGCCTCAGGCCCATAGCAATGAAACTGGCTGACCACGAACTAAAACCTCTTAAAACTTTGAACTCAAACAAATCTTTTCTCTTTAAGTTTTGTTACAGCAATGAAGAGTTGACTGATGCTTACACTGCTGAACTATCTAATCTTTTTTTCAGCTTGCTCCTTTAATTTTGCAGTCACTTCATAGGTAAATGTTAACAAGTTGATAATTGTAAAAATAATTGGAATGATGTAGCAAAACAATAACATTTGGAAAGCTCTTTTTAAGAAGTTTTAATTATATTTGGATGGAAATAGTATTTTTCCTTTCCACTAAAAGGTTTAAACAATTTGTTCATTTATTTTTTAGGACTAGAAAAAATTTTCCAATGTTCACTGTGTCATTTCCCCAGCCTGTACTTTCATTGAATCATCAAAACATTGAAGGTATGTTTTAATGGGTGGAGGTTTTCTTTGCCTGAAAATAAAAGGCTTAGATATGGAGTTACTTACAAGTAGGCTGGTATACTGTACATTTTAATTTGAAATCAGCGTTGCATAGAATTGCCCGTGAAGGAAACAGGTCAGCTGCAATCAGTCCCTGGTACTCCAAATGCCTGCTCTTTCTACTTGTGATTTTTGGGGCTGAAACTTGAAAGAAAATGTTTTGTTTTTACTGTTCATAACATCATTAATATCTACACTATGCTCTTCCTGACTGGCAGTTACACAGGCCAGTTTTACTTTGGTTTCAGCTATATTAGAGAATGGCTCTTTTTCTCTTTGAGGTGTCTCCTAGGAATTCCTCCAGAGTGAAATTATGTATGTTGTGTCACACTGTAGTAAATATTCATAATAGTTAGTGAAACCTTGTATTATAAGAAAAGGGCGGGAAGACATGATAAGAAATTGGAAAAGATAAATTTATAAAGCTCTGTATTCTGCTTTGCATTACCACTTCTCCTTATCACTAATTCTTTTTTTTTTTCTTCTTTTTTTTTTATTGGTTGTTCAAAACATTACAGAGCTCAAGACATATCATCTTTCATACAATCGACTCAATTGGGTTTTGAACTCCCCAAATACATAATACAGACTCACTTATCACTAATTCTTACATCACACTTCTAGTGCCTAATAATATTATCTGTTCTTTCTTTTAATGAGTATGTTTTGAACTTTCTGTGTGTCACGTGTATTGGTGGCACATGTGTATTGGTGGCACACTGTGTATTGGTAGCTATGGGTGTATGAATTCTAAATAAACTAGGGATCCTTAAAGGATCTGGATTTCAGGATTGGTCTGAAATGAATCATTGCTGAAAAGCAATGACTCTTTTAAGGATGTCTGGGGGTAGCACTAAAAGAATAAAGGCCTAGATCATTGCTTCCCCTGGCCTGATGTGAGAAATTCAGGAAAAAAACCCAATAATTTTAGTTCGTGGAAATGTTTGTGGACAGATTATATATTCACAGTAATACTAAAAAATGTTAATAATACATAAAAAGTTGTGTATAAAAGGTGACCATAGTAGGATTTATTAAAGTTTGAATGCCTTTTAAAAGTCAGGACCTGTTAATACAGTGCATTTTGTTTTATTTACAACATATATGTCTATTTGTCAACCACAGGGTTTTTCTGTTTATTCACTAGTAAGTAGGAAAAAAAAGAAAACATAACTATGAATAAGTTCTGTGGTCTTGGAGAAAGTAAGAATTGTACCAAGAAAGGGAAGGACCATGTGCATACAGAGCACCAGTAGTGACACATTAAAAAGTGTGGGAAGTGAGGTCTAAGCATGTCTTAAGATGACAAATAAGTAATACCCAATTAAAGAGAGTGTTTAGCAGGGACTAGATCCCACACCTTTTAGGAAATAAAAGCCATAAATATCCCTGCCTGTTGTTAGATGCTGATAAAAGGTATAAGTTTATAATAATACTAACAGAACAAGTCAATATTTAATAAATATTAGAACAGTGGCCAAATAAAACTTAAAAATGGCATTGTAAAAAAAAATAAACAAGAGAAAAACCTTTGTGAAGTTTAAGGTGTTATTTTATAAGTAAAGCTAGATAACTGGCTACTGAGGTTTGAATCCAACAAAAAAATCAGGTAAGCAAAGGACTTAAAATCAGCATACTACAGTAATGCAGCCACATCAATGTTTATAGCAGCTTAATTCACAATAGTTAAGCTGTGGAACCAACCTAGATGCCCTTCAACACATGAATGGATAAAGAAAATGTGGTATATATACACAGTGGAATATTACTCAAGAAGAAGAATGAGATTATGGTGTTTGGTAAATGGATAAAACTGGAGACTATCATGCTAAGTGAAATAATCCAATTCCCCCCAAACCAACGGCCAAATGTTCTCTTTAATATGTGAATGCTAACACACAGTGGGAGGTGGATTAGACAAAGGGGAATAAAGGGATGGGATGGGGAGACAGGAATAGGAAAGACAGTAGAATGAATTGGACATAACTTTCCTATGCTCATATATGAATGCACAACCAGTGAAACTTCACATCATGAACAACCTACAAGAATGGGATCCTAAATAAAATAATTTATACTCCATGTATGTATAGTATGTCAAAGTACACTGTCCTGTAATGTATATCTAAAACAAATAAAAAATATTTTTAAAAAATGAGGTATCAATAACCCAGATCCTGACACCTCAATTGATCCAAAAAATTATTTGGTTTTTATTTGATGCAATTTTTGTAACCCTGGGAAGGTAATTAATAACTTAATTATTTTTAATTTTTATTAAAAAGTATATATTTGGAATTAGCCATCTAGACTCAATTTAGATAGTCTTAATTTTGTTGACAATATCTGAAGTATCATAATCAGGAACAAGTGGAACATATGCCTTCTTCTCTTCATTAGGTCTGACCAGGGTATTGACCTTGGCCTCAACAATGTCCTAGAGCTTCTTCATAGCTGTTTGATCTGGTGCTTGTTGGTCTTGACATCTAGAATAGTGTCGTGGTGTTCTCTGTCTTCTTCAAGGCAGACTCAGTAGTTAGGGGGAACTTGATGATGGCATAGTGGTCAAGCTTGTTTCCTCTGAGGGTGCTATTTTGAGGATATTTGGGCTTCCTCTGGAGCTACACTGTCTTGCGCTACCAGAACATGGGTAACACTTGGATCTTTTTGTTTTTGTCAGTGGATGCCTTTCAGCATTACCTTTTAGACTTTGTTTTTGCTTTGGCTTCAGTTTTGGAAGAGGCAGGAGTTTTCTTCTTTACTTTCGGTGTGCTTTTAGTGAAAAAGTTCAAAATATAGTAATTTAAAATTTGGGGAGTAGGGGGATGTATTGAGGATGGAGCCCAGGGGTGTTTTACCACTGAGCTCCATCTCTAGCCCTTTTTATTTCTGATTTTGAGACAGGGCCTTGCTAAATTGCTGAGAGCTTCACTAAATTGCTGAGGATGGTCTTAAGCTTGGTGATTCTCCTGCCACAACCTCCTGAGTTCCTGGGATTACAGGCATGCATCACTATGCCTGGCCTTAAGGTTTTTTGTTTTTTTTTATTGGTTGTTCACAACATTACAAAGCTCTTGACATATCATATTTCATACATTAGATTGAAGTGGGTTATTACTTGCCAACATTTTCAAAGGGGAATATTTCTCATATAAAATTGGGGTTTAGACCTTTCAAAAAATCAGTAGATTTGGAAACATGGGGTCCATATTTCTTCAAGGTAACTACTGTGTGATGCTTCATGGGGGTTGTTTGCCCACATAGACTCCTTATCTAACACACCTGATTGTAGATAGAAATTTGAATTGCCAATCCTCTATGTTCCACATGTATTTGTTTCTTGGTGCTGGGGATGGAACCCAGGTCCTTGTGCATATGAGGCAAATGCTCCGGCTTGTGTTTGTTCAGTAAAAAGCGATATATGAATGGGGGATTAATTTAAATTGTCATTATGTGTATTGGAATGTCCAGTTTTCTTTTTAAAATTGTGATAGCCCAACTATTTGAGGGTTGGTAGATAATATCTCTCTTTCTCTCTCTCTCAATTTAAAAAAATAAAATGTTTGAATTATTCATAATGTAAAAAAAAAGTTCAAAATAATTGTTACTTTAATATTAAGTTACAGGCCTAAGAATAGAAATAAGAATGAATCAAACCAGGGTACTGTTATTTTAGAATTAGTTTAATAATAATAAATTTCATAACCATTGTACTTGTACTTTGCCTTTTACATTAAGTCTGCTGTTGTGAAAAGATTAATCCTGTTAAATTTGTAACTTAAGAGAATTAAAAGTTTATAATCAATGTCTAAATATTAAAGAAACAGTAATTTTCATGTTTTTGTGTCTTAGAGACTGAATTTTAATAAATCGATCATTAAATAAATATAAGAACAAATTATAATTGATGCTCCTCTCCAAATAAATAAGAACTTTAAGGTTTTTAAGTCAAAGTAATTTTTAAGATCAATATCTGATAGCTCAGTATTATAATTCAAATTATGGCAAACATACCCTTCAAATTTGGTGAAAACCTGTATAAATCCTTTTATAAGTTGTGTTTGATGGATAAACCAAAAGAATCATGTTTATAAAGCTGTAAAGTTACCATTTTAGAGATTGAGGTCCTTTTTGTAAGGTTGTCTTGTACAACGTGGACAGAGGTGTCATGGATGGTGTCATGCCATGTGCTTTCCCTTTTCTTCCTTGGTTTTTGGCCAGGATAACAGGTGTCAGCCATAGTTAAACAAAGATTGATTCACATTTTTTCTATACCTAATTCCAGTATTTATAGAAAACAAGTTTCCACTGTGTCCATTTTTCCTGCCAGTTTTGGCATTCTGAGAGCCATTAATTCCTGTGATGCTATTAGCATCTGTGCAGTGTCCTCAAAACCCTCATTTATCTTCTGAGCGACAAGTCTTACTATTTCTTAAAAGTACTTTGTGCACCATAGTGTTTGTTTCTGCCCTGAAGCTGTGTTGATTAGAAACCCATAGAATTGGTAGTTTCTTTCCCTTCTGGCACCTCATTGCCACTCTCTCTTGCTTTCACTCCTTTCAGAGTATTCAGAACATGAAAATAATTTTATAGTATCATCACAGATTAAATCTTGTGCAAATAAACTGTTAACTTATTAGCTTTTATACCTGATAGTGTTCTAATATAGTCCTATTCTTTTTCTCTCTCAGTTTAAAGGGTAGTTCTGAGCAAATTATGGAATAATCAAAATAAGCAGACTATCTTAAGTAAATATAATAGCATTAACATTATAATGCTTGTATATAAGTTAAAATCTATATGTAAGTTAAAATTTTTGCATAAATTGAAACTTCTCTGGCTGTTTTTATTGCTTTTGGTATTTTAGAATCATTTCTTATACATACTATTATATTTTGTTTATCAAGGGATAAGGATAGATAAGAATTCCAGAAGAATTTTTTAAAAAATTTTTAAGTTAAAAAGGAGAATTCCTATAACTAAGAATCCTGAAGTTATAGAATGTTTTCTGAATTTAGTATTAAGCAACGAAGATATCTTTCTGTCTTTTTTCTGGTGCTTCTTCTATGTATTGTTACTTCTCCTGGCAAGATTGATGGTCTTCAGTGACCTAAAATCCTTTGTCACATTTGAAACTGACTTGAATCCCCTTTCCTCAGCAATTTATTATATTTCTTGAGTCAGTCCCTTCAAATAGTGAAACAAATGCCACCAGTTGTAATTATATTCTAGAATATAAAGTTAACTTTGAGACAAAGCCCTGAGGCTTTTCACCAAGGTCTTTGATATTTTGTTCTTTGTTCCCATGCCTCGAAAAAATAATAAAAATGAAATCACTACTGGAGCTTTAACACCAAAAGGACTATCTTATTCAGCCTCTATTCCTTGCTGTGTCTATAAACAAATAAATTTTCCCTCTTTATAGAGGAGGGAATTCAGTATAAAAAATGACTCATTTCTGGGCTGAGGTTGTGGCTCAGCGGTAGAGCACTCGCCTAGCACGTGCCAGGCCCTGGGTTCTATCCTCAGCATCACATAAAAATAAATAAAATAAAGGAATTGTGTTGCAATACATCTAAAAAATAAATATTTTTTTTAAAAACGACTCATTTCTGAAAGTTATAGTCTATGGTGTAGTTTGAGATAAGCCCTGGGAAATGCTAGTCTTCCATTCCCCAGGAAGTAGAATACATGCCTTGTTGACTTTGACCTAGATATTCCTGGTCTGTGTCATATAACCCTCCTAAATAGTGCCATGTTGCACATCTGGCCTCTAAGACCTACATGTGGAATGATGAGTGCAGGACCGTATGGTTAAATGATTGATTTTTTTAGGGTCTGTACTTCAGGTCTTCTTATGAATGATCTATCTATGTGTCTGTCTACTTACCTAACTCATTTATTTGTTTATCCACCAATTCAACAAACAAACTTCTGGGTCAGGGGTGGCTAAGGCCAATTAGTACCCACTGAGAATATTTTAGCATCAGATTTTACTGAAATCTAATTAAAAATTTTTTTTTTAAATCTTGGTGGAGAAGATCAGTAGATTAGAGGAAAGAGAATGGGAAAGGGAAGAAAGAAAGAAAAGGGAGAGGACATGAACTGAAATTGAATTCCATCAATGTACAAATTTGTTGAGATGAACCCTACTACTGTGTATAACTATAACTATGATGCTCTAATGAAAATTTTTTAAATAAAAAAAACCTTAATGGAAACAGTAAAGAAAATATGAGAATTCCTTCTAAATGTTTATTTTTAATATAGTAATGAAATTTCTGTAAAATATTTTATTAATTTATCATATTTTTGAAACAGTAAATGTTAACATAAGAGAAATATTTTTTTTTCCTGTTCAGTGCTGTAGATCAACCCAGGGCCCCTCACATGCTAGGCAGATACTTAGCCACTGAACTATATTCCCAGCCCTTTTTAAAGTTTTATTTTGAGACACAGTGTCTCTAATTTGCTGAGGCTGGCCTCCAATTTATGATTCTCTTGCCTTAGCTGTCTGAGTAGTTTTAATTATAGGCATACACTACCATGTCTAGTTAAAAAAGATCATTTTGATGGTGACATCAAAGACAGTATAGGAAAAGATTTCTTTAAAGATTCTTTATAATTCAAAGGAGAAAGAGGGTGAAATCCTTTTTTCTGTTTTTGAATCCTGCTCAAGGACCTGAGAGTTTATTCAAACAAACCAACCAACAAACAAAATATAATCTTTTTTGCAAAGATAATTGCCAATTTTCCTCAAATGTTTCTTTTAACCAGGGGGATGGAGGAGTAGAGGGAACATGGAAAAAATATGTTTTATTGATATTAAAATTTTAAGCAACTAGAGATATAAAATTTCTAATAACTTAAGATATGGATAGTGAAACATGAGCATAAAGGATTTCAAAGTTAGAAAAATTATTCTTATTATTTTATTCACTTTATTCATTATCTATGAGGAAGTGGAATGCCATGATTTTTAAAATCCTAGTTGATTTTCATCATTAAAAGTAAAAACCATTTTTTTTGTTTTTAGTATGTACTGAGGGGTTTGACCTTCCAGCATCAACTGTGAGGAGCTTGAGGGTACAGAGAAACCCCTTGGGATATGGTTTCAGAGAACAGTGTCTGCTTTATCACACAGCAAAATAGCTTTTATACCGGGTATGTACCAATTTACATATAATAGTCATGATAGGCTAGGGGTAATAAAAACATATCATCTTACAGAAGTCAAGACACCAAAACCAGAAACTGGCATGTAAACTGACCCTACAACAACAAGGGGAATAACTTCTTGTCGAAGGAGCAAGGAAATTGCGCTCGCCAACATTCTAACAGCACTTTGTCCTAAAACAGCATTCTATGTTAGGACTTCCTTGATGCACAATGAGTAATATAAGCTGAAAAACCTGTCTTGTTTGAGAGGATATATTCTGAGGTTCAACAGATAAAACTTGCTTTTACAGTACCTATGTAGATATTGCCTAGTAAAAAGAAACTGAAAGAATGACTCAAACATGATTAATTTTAAATCCTTTGGCTATATACTAAGGAGAGGGATGACTGGGTCAAATGGTGGTTCTGTGACAGTTTTTCTAAGTAATTTTCATCCTGCTTTGCAGAGTAGTTGCATCAGTTTTCAGTCCTACCAGTAATGTAAGAGTGTACCTTTTTCCCCACATCCTCGCCAACATTTATTGTTACTTGTATTCTTGTGTACTGCCTCTCTGACTGTAATTTAATTTGTATTTCTCTAATTGCTAGAGATGTTGAACATTTTTTCATTTATTTGATGACATTCATATTTCTTTTTCTGTGAAACACAATGAATCCCACCATCATGTACATCCATAAGAATGAGATCCTAACTAAAATATATTCCATGCTTGTATAATTATATCAGAATGGATTCTGCCATCATAACTAAAAAGAACCAATACATTTAAAATATAATTTAATTCAATTACAAAAGATAGGATGATACTACACATACAGCTTTTTTTTTTTTTTTTTTGTACTGGGGATTGAACTCAGGGGCACTTGACCACTGAGCCACATCACCAGCTCTATTTTGTATTTTATTTAGAGACAAGGTCTCACTGAGTTGCTTAGTGCCTCACTATTCTGTGAGATTGGCTTTGAACTCGAAGTCCTCCTGCCTCAAGTAGCTGGGATTACGGGTGTGCACCACCAAGTCCAGCTTCATACAGCCTATTTTTTGGTGTATCTTATAACTTATTTACATACAGTAAGTATAGAATTACATAAAACACAATAAAACAAAAAAAATGCTTGAAATGTCGGTGAGTCCTAAATACCACCCAAGTATATTAGAATCCTTGAGTCTTAATAATAGATAGAAGGCAAAGGGAGTGCGGTATTAGGAGAAATATATATTTTTTTCTTATCCTTCTTAAATGAACTTGATATGAACTGCTATCAGCCAGCTGAGCTCAGAGGGGTCCGGGTGAGCACATGGAGTACAGCTGAAGTCACAGAGGCAAGGCAGCATCCTCTGAATCTTTAGAATGAGCTCTTGATTCCTTTTGGCCTTATAGGAAAGGTTCATGCCTAACTCCACATAGCATGATTCATTTAAATTCTGTGACTTATAATGGAGGAGATAATAATACTTAGAAAGTAGATAACTATTTTTCCTTGTGTATTTAGAAATACTTATAATAATTCAGCTAAAATAGAGAATTGGGTTGGGTTTTAGCAAACTAATTCTGAATGATTGTAGTTCTATTTGGCCCTGTTTAAAATATTTTTTCAGAAATGGAATAATTTTATCATTTCATTTCCAAAATGAAAATAATTTTATAATAATAAGATATTTATAAAATATTTGACAATGTCACTTTAATTGAGGGAGTTCAAGTTATGTGATTTTTAAAATGCTGAATGAGAGGGTATAGATTTAGTATTTTAATAAAACTGGAATTAAAGCATATGTTCTCTTCCAGAGCCTGAAGCTGAAAATACTGAAGTTCTGTCACACCTAGAAGAGGTTGGTTTGTATAACAGATTAGCTATGTAGATCATGGACTTAGATTTTTTAAAATTATGTTGATTAAACTATTAAGCTAATTTAGACCCTCTCCTAAGGCAGTAATATGACCAAACCATTTCAATATGTAGAAATTCATTCTTGTTCAAAAACCTCTTCTAGTATTTATTCTTCCTTATCTGTAATAAAATAGTGTTTTCTTGATCAATTTCTTAATTCATCTCAGCTGTATTTTATACAGTTCTTGCCAACAAGTTTTTTTCTCAAGTCAGGAGCCAGAAGACAGGAGAAAGAGCATAAATTTTGGAATCAGAACTAGGTTCTGAAGTCAGCTATGTTATTTATATCTTTAAAATATAGACAATATCTGTTTCTCAGTTATTGTAAGGACTGAAAGCAATAAGTTTATAACATATGGCACCTAATTAGTGCTGAATAAATATGTGTTCCTCCCTTCCTTCACTCCCTTACAAATCTTTGATTACTGGCTCAAGACCTTTATCCTCTGTGGATCTGTTTCAGATGACTCTGGTAATCTTGACCAAAGTAATTACTTTCTCTTTAGTGTTTATTTTTCACTGTCTGTAGTCAGTATTTCCTAATTACTTGCCCTCTGACATTAATAGATCTTCTGAGGAAAAAGAAAGATTCTTTTTGGACAAAACTATGAAGAACACAGTGTCCTAAAGTTTCCCCAGATATTTACAGTGCATATGCTCTGAAAAGTTCTGTAGTAAGGCAGCTGATTTAATTTTGTTTTGTCAAGTATTTTTCAAACAGTTATAAAATTCTACGCCTCCCTGGTGACTTTTTCTTGCAAGATACTAGACTCTGTAGGATTGTTTGTTATACCTAGTGCCTTATATTTAGTAGACATAAGGACTTCAAATAGGAGGGAGGCCTTAATAAGATACCGATTAAAGAATGGGTAGGATCTAGTTCTTGATTCATTTTTAAATTTCTTTAGCTTTCCCAGCAAATTGTAGTTAGTATTACTAATAAATAAATATATCTTCTTAATCTCTGTATGCTGTATTCATAGAAGATAAATGGTGCCAGATAGAAAAAGATCAGTGGAAGAACAAAATTTTTTTATTTATAATTTTTTTTATTTATAAACATGTTATAAATATTAGAAGGCTAAAAAAAATAATAGTGCATTCTGTGAAAGAGGTGGTAGATTTGATTTTTGGAAACAGCCAAAGTCATTGAAACCCATTCTGTTATTTAAGGTCAAGCAAATTACTAGTTTTTGTTGCTGGAAAAAAATTCAATACCTTTAAAGTATGTTATATTCTTGAATGATTTTATCAACTGATTTTGAAATCAGTTTTTCAGGAGAGATTATAATAATATTTTGAACTTTATAAACATAGTGAGAATAGGTACAATATATTTATTAAGGTAATATCTTGGAAAAGTAATGGTTACTTGAAATGTAAGTGTTGTATATTTTCTTTAAAATATCACAACCCAGATCCATTAACTTATAACCAGGGCTTATAATACTTTCACAGATTGCACCCTCAATTCTCCTATTTTCCCCTCGGATTTCCTGTCCTTCAGTCTTTTCACTTCTTAATTGTATATTAATACAAAGATAGGGACTAAAAATAAGGTGAATGACATAATTTTATTCCTAGTTAATAATTTTTATACAACTAAATACAAGCTTTGGTAAGAAATAATTTTGTAATTAACTGCTATGAAGTTTTGAGATGACCTGTTACTTTAACTGTTACATCTGTGTCTTCTATTAGCACAGATAATTTAAACTTAATTAAATTGATCATTTTCCATCTGTAACTATGGTCCAGCCAGAGTTACACTGGGTCCATTATTAAGTGATTAATTATGTATTCAGTCTTAGTAATTTGGTATAAGAAAGTAGTAAGGAATATTCTTTTTACTTAAGGATGAGGAGGACAGTTGATAAAACTGCTTTTTGAGGGTAACTTACAAACAAAATAAATTACAAAACTATCAATTTTAAATTTCAAATGTTTTCTTGTATATGCTGTAATGATGGAATTTCTTTTTGGAATATACAGGAACTAAGTGAAAACAGAGATTCCCCTGAAATTAGCCTTCTTGCAGGTACTGCTATTACAGTATCTGGAAGGCTTGCTGTAAAGGAGAAATCATTAACAGAGCAAGAGAAGATCTTAGCAGTACCACATGCATTTTCTGAACCTGGGGAGGAAGTTTCAATGACTATGACTTCTAAAGAAACCAAGGATGAAGAAAGCTCCCTTGAAACTTTTGTGTCTGCCTTAGAAAGATTGCTAACATCACCAGACAGCACCCAGGAGGAAAGACTGTTAGAAATAATGAATGATTTTGATCCCGGAGAATTGATTAACTCCCAAAGTTCTATAGAAATACCTTTGAATGCTTCATCAGCTTATAGCAGAGATTTTCTAGAAAACACAAAGGATGATACATTACCTGCAGAGTTATTGGCCGCCCTGAACACATTGTCAGAAACCAAGCTGGGACCCATCTGTCACAGAACAGAGGAAGGCAGCAATCTTAGTGATGAAAATGGATGTTTAGAAGTAGAGCCTGTTATGTCCCAAACTGATGAAGATGGTACACAAATAGCAGAGGTGAATTTTAAATCTCTTCATTCTACTCTATCATTAGAGCAAAGTTCCAACTTAGCTGGGCTGCGGGACAATGGTCTAGCAGTGGAACAAGTAGGTGCAAGTATGAGTTGATGATTTTGCCTTTTTATATTGTTGACATTTAACAAGTAAATCTACATTGTATTAAATTCAAATCTTCTACCCAAATATCAACATCTTAGAAGATATTTTCTAATTTCGAGGCATATAGTGATCTTTTTAAAAGTTCTTGCATACAGTTTTCAAGGGGTTAGGAAGCTAAAATAGATTTTTCCCCAATAGACCTGAGAAGGCTTATCATTAATTTTCTTGTGTATATAGGAAAGAAAGGTTCTTTAACAGAAATTTCTCTGTTAGCTCAGAAAATCATTATGTTTACCTGGATTCAGAGTAGAGACAAGATACCTCACATTAATTTATAGAATGTATGTAGTTGGGCTGCCAGGTGAGGGGGAAAAATGCCCAGTTTTAGCAGAACTTTGCCTTCTGTGTCTGAGAATACTACCAGAATTCCAGCAATGTTATATGTAGAGGCCCTACTACATTCCAAGTTTCTTTTTCATGTTGGCAATTTGAATCTTCATTTTTGAAAGAAATCAAACATTACAGCATTAAATAATAATATAGAAACAAAAAGTGCTCCTTTGCCTCAATTCCACTCTAGAGTTTTCACTCTTTTTTAAAATTTTCGTACCAGGAGATTGAACCCAGGGGGTTGCTTAACCACTGAGCCACATCCCCAGCCTCCCCCCCCCCTTTTTTTATTTTGAGTTGCTTAGGGTCTCACTAAATTGCTGAGGCTGGCTTTGAACTTGGCAATCCTTCTGCCTTAGCCTCCTGAACTAATAGGATTGCAGGCATGCACCACTACGAGTTTTCACTCTTAGCAGTTTGGTACATCTATGTCTAATTATTGCTATTATAGTCTATTTAAGTTTATTTTACTCACATGGGATTTTATACAGAATGCTTTACAACTTATTTTTGAAATTTAATAATACATCTTGGTTATATTTTCCAGTGTCAGGAAATATAATACTACTTAAATATTTTAACTTGCTAAATGGTCTTACAATATATGAGTATATTGTAATTTATTTAAACAATTCATTAATGGTGGTCATCTGGATTCTCTTTGTCTTTTAACTATTACCAAAATGCTCCTATGAATATCCTTGGTAAGATTTAGATAACAATGCTGAGCTCATGTTGCAACATATATGCCTAGAATAATACTACATGGGGTTCTGATTATCCTATCCCAAAACAGATATAATAGGACTAAGAGAGAGACAGAGAAAAGGACAAACACTGATTATGGAGATAGGGGATAAAAATTAAACATTGTAGTGCTCTAATCTGAAAAGAAGGAATATGAGTAAAATGTATGGGAAATTATGATAGGTACTCATAAAGGGAGCACAAACTTGGCAAGTCCTCAAAATAAAAGAAAAAAACTTTTAAAGGTAGAAAAGAGATGTGCTTAGAACAGAACAGATCAAGTTAAATACTCTAATTCAGGTGTGATAAAAATATGGAAATTTTTATCTTGAACCTTTACAAACTGGATATATAAATAAGCTAAAGGTTTAGATGATATGTGTAAAATAAAGATCTTCATGGAAATTAAATTTATAATGGATTATTAAGGAAAACTAGAGCAATTCAGGTTATACTGTGACCTTTTTAAAATCAGTGTAAATAAGGTTATATACTATCTTGTCCCACAAGTTTTAATGTCCCTTATTGTTGCTGCTAAATAACAAAATACTAGGCTAAGTAGACCACTGATCTGGCCTAGTATGGCTTTTTTTTTTCTTTTCCTTTTGTATAAGATACTGAACCCAAGAGCACTTAACCATTGACCCACATCCTCAGCCATTTTTATTTTTTGAGACAGGGTTTCTCTCGCTGAGTTACTTAGAGCCTTGCTAAATTGCTGGTTTTGATCCTGTGATCCTCTGCTTCAGCCTCCCAAACCACTGGAATTATAGATGTGTAACATCATGTCCAACTCTAGTATGGCATTTCTAATGTTTTTATGGGTTTTGACATTTTTATTACTTCCTATAAAACTGAAGCACCAAGAATAGTCTTAGGTTTTTCCCTTAAATTTTACAGATGAGTATTGAATAAATCATTTTTACTAAATTATGTTCTTCTTATCTTAAGTTTTTAAGTTTATATTATCTTTTATTACATTAATTATTATTAAAATAATTTAGTTGACATGCCTGTGAATTCTTGCACTTTCATCTTTTAAGAGGAATATAAATTTTATCCAAGAACAAGATCAAACTTAATTTCTCCTAATGTTAATATTTTTCAGTATTATAATTATTTATGGATGTATTACATCTTTACAGACTGTCGAAGACCTAAGTTCATTTGAGTTACCAACTTTGCCTCATCAAAATGTCCCCTCTTGTGAGCCACTAAATAATAAAGGGAATTCAAATTCTATGGAAAATGCCTCTGACCAGGAAACTCCACGTATATTAAGAAGATCATCTAGACTAGAAAAACTGAAAGTAAGCCGAGATGCAAACAGTACAAATGACATATGTAAGATTACAGAAGAGATTTTACCAAAAATACCTAGCTGTGAGGATCAAATAAATAATAAATCTTCAACTAACAATTTCAGGTATGCTATTAAATTGAATCTTTGTTCCCAGTTATGTTATGAACCTAATAAATAATTACATGCTTGAGAATGTTAGGGTCAGTGTAAAGTTACCCCTAAGTAAAGAGCTTTATTATTTTTTATGTTGCTGCTTTTTTTATTTTGCTGTTTTTGATCAGTGCCATTCCATTAAGCAAATCCTTATTTCTTGAAAACACCTGCCTTTTTTTCCCTAAAGGGGAAATAGAGTGGATACTGGCATCCTGATTTGGGAAGTGATATATAGGAGACTCAGTGTACTCAAATTTATAGGAGACTACACCTAGAGGAGAGAAACACAAAGAGAACTATAATCTATGAAGACTGGCAATATGGCATGTCTGTCACAGAATCATCTGTAGTTAACTCAGGAGCCATCTGTATATTTAATACTGCCTTGCTACTTAAGAACAGCTCAGTAAAATATCTTTGAGTTTTAAAATTGTAGTCAAAATTTGGTATGATTTTTCATGAATGCCTGTAGAAAAATTATGGTAATTTAAAAAATACCTTTATTTTTCAAGAATGCAAGATCCTGTTTTAATGATTGAAGGTAAAGGGAAGAGAATCCATTCATCCAGACTCAAGAGTAAACAGATCAGGAAAAATAAACGACTTTCAATAAAAAATGGTAAGGCATATTTTGGATATTTCTCCATTTCTTTAAGTCACATAGGAACAATTATGGTAGAAAAGATTAAAAGATTATCTATCTCAACTTTCTCATTTTATTGATGAGGAAACTGAACTTCAGAGATGGTAAGGTTTTTCCAGCATCACACATTACTGGGATTTGATCGTAAACTTCTGGCTCATAGGCTGGTATTTTTTTCTATATTTCTGTTTTGGAGAGGGTAAATACAGAAGTCTTTTCAAATTTCGGTATTTGACCAGCCTAACACGACTGTGAGAATTTATACCAAGAGTAGTGGAGAAAAGAACAAAGCCAGATTGTTATTGTTCTTATCTCTTATCTATGTCCCTGTATAACCCAAATGATTGAACTGAGAAAACCTCTCAAATATAATAAGAGAATCTAGAAACATTGGTTAAAATATAATAGTGGAAAATTGGCAAAATTGGAATATGGACTGCAGATTGTATCAGTGTTAAATTTCCTGAATTTGATAGTAATACTGGGTTATATAAAAGAATATCCTGTTCTTAGAAAATAAACACTTAAATATTAATGGTAAAGGATATGGTATATAAAAGGTACTCATTTTATTTTTTATGTGTGTATATGTATAAATGAAGAGGGAAGTAGACTGTTTAAAGTTGTGGCAAAATGTTGACAATGAATGAATTCTTTGCTCTTCTTTTTTTTTTTCTTTTTTCAGTACTAAGGGTTAAATCCAAGGCCTTGCATACATACTAGGCAGGTGCTCTACCATTAACCTATATCCCCAACCCTTTGTTTGTTTTTATAACTTTCCTATAAGCCTGAAATTATTCAAAATAAAAATTCAATAAACCAAAGAAGATAAAATTAATATATTTTATATAATTATTAACTAGAAATACAAGATAATATCCAATTTATAATTGTTACAAAAGACAGACAATACCTGCTTATATCAGTGTTAAGAAATATGATAAATACCTGTAAGAAGAGAGCTTACAAATTCTGCTGAGGTACATTAAAATAAAAAGACTCAAATAAATGGAAAGAAGAACTTTGCTCTTGACTAAAAAGATCACGTGTTACAAGAAACTTACTTCTCTCTTAATTACTTAATAAATACAAGAGATTTCTATCAAAAATAGATTTTTGTTTATTTGTTCATTGTTTTATTGTTTAGGTGTTGTTTTCTTTTAACAGAGCTGGAGGATAGCTATGGCAATGTTATAAAATGATACTAAATTTCAGCTGGAAAAGTAATTATGAAAAACTAGATAAGAAAATTCTGAAAAAAGAAAAGGGAAGGTAGAGTGGCAGGACCCTGTTCTATATAATATCAAAGCATATTAGAGGAGACAGGAAGATGGTGGAAGTGAACTAGATAGTAAGTACCCATCTCTTTACAACATGGAAGGAAAGTAGTCAAGGAAAAGCAGAATTGAGAGGTGGATGACAAAATAAATGTTCTAAGACTCAGTATTACAAAGTGTGAGATCTGGAAAGACTGGAAGATAGATTACCAGAGTAGAAAACAAGCTCAGAGTCCCCTAATCCTGAACTTGAACCTGGGGTTAGGAAGGGGGGAGGGGCAACAGAGAGAGAAAATGGTGGGGGAGCCAAAAAATCTCTTATTAAGCTCACCTACTTAAAAGGAAAAACACAAGTGTAACAGATGGATCCTTAAAACAGAGTAAACAACTTAAACAAATTTATGAAAAGAAAATTGAGCTAGGGGTCTGCAGTCATCTCTGGAGCCTTCAGCAGACCAGTCACCTCCTTAAATCAGCACAACATCTTCCCATGCCCAGACAGCTGCAAATTAAACCAAAGGAAAGTCCTTTGCAGTGGGATCTCTTAAGAATCTGGCCGGAAAGAACTTCTAGAAGGACCACTACTGCCCCAAAATCAATGAAATCCCCTCTTTTACTCCCTTATCTCAAACAAGGAGAATGAGCTACTGGGAACTATACCAAGAAATTGCACCTAACTCTGCTCAGCCTCTGGGACCCAGGCAAGGTCTCAGAAAGCTCTGTGCAGCGTCCACTCACTCAATTCAGACAGGGACAGCAATGAAGCAGCTGTGGCCCTGAACAGAGGAAAGCAGATTCACCAAATCCAGACCACTGACATTGGGGAAAGGCACCCTGGGAAACCTACGGTTGTTCCCTGGGATTGCAGGGCCATACCAGAGGGAAACTGCCCAGTGGAAAATTACCAGAATCTATGCAACAGGAAGGGGTTGATCCCAGCCTTAACTGGTGCACAACCTGACCTGTGGTCACACTTGGCAAGTGACAGGGCATTGTTTGAATACTTGTAGGACATTGCATCAGACTTAGTAAACAGAGGGAATCAATGCCCACCATTCACAACCAGGGGCAGTGGAGACTATGGTCCAGGTGAGCCACCAGAAACCTACAGTACCTCAGAGAGCAGCTTGATCAGGGGAATACTTCTGTACCACAGAACACCCATGGAAAACCCATAGCCAGAGTTCCTGAATTCACAGACAGGCATGGGGATTTTCACCACTTTGAAAAGAATCTGGTAGACGGGAGCAGCTACACAGTGACCCATAGCAATCACAGGGACACTCCAAAGCCTGCATCTTGTATTACTGTACACAATAGAAACAGCCAACTCACAGTACTAACTGGTCACCTGTAGGCCCTTGAGCTGATAAACCAGAAGTTGCTAGTAGGAGGTTCATAGCAACTAGGGAATTGGCTCCTGTGAAAGACTGATGGACATCTGCTAAATGTCTAAACCCTAATGAAATCCAAACCAAAATTTAATAAAATTTTTCCTTGCCTTGATATGGTCTACTATAAACAACTCTAATGTCTACTTGATTTATAAATAACTTTTTAATTTTTAATCCAATTGCCAACATTGTACCTTCAACCTGTTTGAATATTTTTCATGTAATGTTTTTTAGCATTAATTAGAATCAATCTTCTTAACTTTGTTTTCCTAACTCTAGTTTATACTTGTTCTTCTTACCCCCTGCCCATCTTCTTGCATAATCAGATACTATCTCAAATACTAATCATTAATCTATTTCTCCTTTCTACCTTGGTGTAATTATTCTTTATAACTTTTCTCTCTCTTGTCTTTCTCTCTTCTTTTTGCCCTATCTTTCTTCTGACCCTACTTTAGTTCACATTTAAGGTTATAGTGAGTTTACTAAATTTAATAACTAATTTTTGATGTATTATAGAACTTTATTATAGTTTTATACTTGAATTTGAGGAACCATGGAGAACAATTGCAACAAATTTTTGTTTCTTATAAGGTTGAATAGAAAGAAGCTTGGCTATGAAGTGATTATAGTAAATACGGCTCAGTGACATATTTAAAAAATATATTTTTAGTTGTACTTAGACATAATGACTTTATTTTACTTATTTTTTATGTGGTGCTGAGAATCAAACTCAGTATCTCACACCTGCTAGGCAAGTGCTCTACCACTGAGCCACAACCCTAGCCCTCAGTGACCTCTTAAAGCTGTGCTGATATTGGGATTATCAGAGGTTACACATTGACTTAAAATCTTATTATCTAGATATTCACTCAACCCAGGGCTCTTAAGAGAAAGAAGCTCACAAAATAGTCTTTCACTTAAAAGAAGTGAGAACTATACCGATATAAACAATATGAAAAAGCAAGAGAACAAACCATCGTAAACAGCTTATAATGCTTCAACAACAGACTTCATCGACACTATAGTAGAGAAAATGTCAAAGAAAGAATTTAAAAAGTTCATAGTTGGTATGTTCTATGAGCTAAAAGAAGAAGTAAGAAGTAAAATCAAAGAGAAAACACAGTAAGTGAAAGATCACTTCAATAAAAGATTCTGAAAAAGAACCAAATGGGATCCTCAAAATTAAGAATTCAGTAAATCCAATTAAAACTTCAATGGAAAGCATTGCCAACAGATTGGATCACTTTGAAGATAGATTTTTCAGGACTTAAAGACAAAGCATATAATCTTGAAAATAAAGTTGACCATAAAGAAAAGATGTTTTCATTGTAGAGGTAGGTCTTTTACCTCTTTTGTTAGATTGATTCCAGGTATTTTCTTTTATTTTTTGAGGCAATTGTGAATGGAGTAGTTTTTCCTAATTTCTCTTTCAGTGGATTCTTCGTTGATATATAGGAATATGTTTGATTTATGGGTGTTGAATACTTTGCTGAATCCATTTTATTAGTTCTAGATGTTTTCTGGTGGAATTTTTTGGGCCTTCTATGTATATAGAATCATATTGCTGTCAATTAGTGCTAATTTGAGTTCTTCTTTTCCTATCTGTATCGCTTTAATTTTTTATCTAATTACTCTGGCTAGAGTTTCAAGAACTATGTTAAATAGAAGTGGTGAAAGAGGGCATCACTGTCTTGTTCCAGTTTTTAAGAAAATGCTTTCAATTTTTCTCCATTTAAAATGATGCTGGCCTTGGGTTTAGCATATAAATCTTTTACAGTGTTGAGGTATGTTATTACTATCTCTAGTTTTTATAGTGTTTTGAACATGAAGGTGTGCTGTACCTTATCAAATGCTTTTTCTGCATCAATTGAGATGATCATATCATTCTTTTTTTAAGTCTACTAATATGATGTATTTATTATGTTTATTGATTTCTGTATGTTGAACCAACCCTGTATCCCTGAGATAAATCCCACTTGATTGTGGTGCACTATCTTTTTAATATGTTTTTGTATGCCATTTGCCAGAATTTTATTGAAAATTTTTGCATCTATGTTCATCAGGTATATTGGTCTGAAGTTTTCTTTTCTTGACGGATCTTTGTCTGGTTTGGATATCAGGGTGATATTAGCCTCATAGAATGAGCTTGGAAGAGTTCCCTCTTTTTCTATTTCATGGAATACTTTGAAGAATATTGGTGTTAATTATTTTTTGAAAGTCTTATCGAATTTGGCTGAGAATCCATCTGGTTCTGGGCTTTTCTTGGTTGGTTTTGATTGCATTTTCTATTTCATTACTTGAAAAT